CGCTCTTCTCTAATTTATGTTACAGGGACTTTCTATATAAATATATTTGTAACTGGTCTTTTTTGTTTCTTCTTAGTTTTTGTTCATTTTTCAGCCTTATCTTTCTTCCATTTCTTTTCTAAGCGAGGGTGACGTATAAAAAGGGACTTAAAAAAGGATGGACTCTAAGAAGGCTCAATTTATAGTCAGAACAAAAGGCAGCACAATTAGTTGTACGTAGAATAATTTATTGAATAACGGTTGGACTTGGTTGCAGTGGGAGTAGTTGCTAGGGCTTTAGTGCAGTGTCTATGAGGTGCACCATTACACAGTGTTTAGGACGATGCACTACTCCATTGGATGCCTCATTACTCTGCGACGTTGGTCATTACTTTGCACGGTGCTTTGCTACCCTGCAATGTATGTCGTTGCTTCGCAAGGGGCTCTATTGAAATGACCAAGGGCAGTTGATGGTGATCAACTGTGGCCGGTTAGTGATTGCTGGAGTGTGAAGCGTTTATCGGGTCTTAAGTCATGAATGATACTTGAATTCAACTCCATTGTGAACCAACTCCAGATTCATCTCTTTTGGTTAAAGGCCTAGGTATTTTTTTATGAAGAGGTTATGACTCTATTTATAAAGAGTGAGAGTAACATCCCTGCAAATAAGGAATGAATCTCAAGCACTCTTTCAGACGACCCAACGAGATTCCTCTAATCAGATGATGCTTTGTGAATATTTTGTGTCATAACAATACGAGAATTGAGTGACCTTGGACTTGTTGGACTCGCCTTGTCGATACACTCGATTCGACTGTAGACTTGTCAGATTTGAAATTCATTCTAACTTTCAATCGTACACCCAAAGCTTTGAAAATTGGTTTGACGACTTTATGTAGGCTTAATTTGACTCGAATTAGACCAATTTTAGTGTCATTAGAACCGTCTCGTTGAGCCAGTCAGTTTGACTATAAGTTTGCTTCAATCAAAGTTTTTGATGATTTTTAATTTAAGTTTGAATAATTCTTACTAAAAAAATCAATTGATAAATTTTATTGATGACATATTAGGTGTATTTACCCTTTTAAAAGTTGAAATGATGATATTTTTATGTGACTTAAATATTTGGGTAGCGCACATGTAAAAAGCAAAGTTATTGTGTTAAATATGTAAATATTAAGAACTAGATGGTATGTATGTAAATGCCCCTGGCTTATTTTCTAAAAGTTCAAAAGAGTTCAACTTCTAAGAGTTTGGAAAGTTTCTATTTGGCACAATCTAATTTGAACTAATTTATTTTATCTATTCACTATAATTTCTTGACAAGGAGAATGATGCTTTCTTATATATTGAATTTCACATTAGAAACTCTATTAGTATAATTAGTTATTTAAGAGTTATTAAAATTAGATATTTATTTCAATTGTCTATTAGTGACAGATAAGCAATTTGAATTATATTGTTGTGATTAAGTATTGATTTTCTATAATTTTAGTTCGTATCCTCTAATATTACTCCCTGTGGGATCGATATCTAGGACTCCATTAGAGCCCTATATTACTTGAGTGATACGTATACTTGCGTTGATAAGTGTGACTTTACCATTATTGAATATTATATATA